AGCAGCCCCCACAGCAGCGCCACCCCCGCACGCAGAGGCGCGCCACCCGCACGAAGGGTGGGATCCATTGCCACGCCGCGCCCGTTGCCCGCTTCGAAGTCCGCGGCGAGGATTCGACCATTCCCCAATGGAGCGACAAAGCCTTCGAGCTCGACTACCTCCAGGGCATCGACCGTGGAGCCGGGCCCGCGTCCTTCCAGGCGCCCTTCGCAGGCGCCAAGGCGGCTGCGTGGCGTCGGTGGCCACGCGCGGGCCAATGGCTCATGTCCTAGACGCCCGAGCAGACGACGTACGCCACATGGAACACGCGGCCCCCCACGCGCCGCAAGCGCGCGAGGCGTCGCGAGAAGCGCGCCGCCCTCGCCAAGTTTGTGGAGCGCCAGTGCGTCATCGTGCTCCAAGGGATCCACGGCTCCGAGGCCCTGTTGCGCACCTGGGTGGATGCGCAGCCGTGCCCGTGCAAGCTCTTCTTTTCCGAGCCCAGGAATGACGACGGTGTCGCGCAGCATGCCACCCAGTGGCGTTGCTACCCTAATCCTGTGGCTCACGCCGTTGCAGCTCGAACGCCAAGTATCTGTCCGCTCCCAAGAGGAGGCGGTCGCTGGCCGCAGTCAGCTCGTCGCCTTCGCCCGCGCCATCTTCCGCCGCATCGTTGTCACCATGGGGATCCATAACCGCGACCTCAGACCTGCCGACCGCGAAAGGACCCAGCTAGCTGGGCACCGCACGCGGGGCGCCGCAGTCGGGCAGAGGCCGGCCACCGCCATCGCGCGCCCATCGCCGCAGGGAGCTTCGCTGCAGCCAATCGCCCGCCGAGTAGTTTCCTGCAGCCCCAAAGGCAACGTGTGCGACTTGCTCTGGGCAGTAGTGCTCGCCGACGGCAGCCGTTCTGACAGCCCCCCATCCGACGCGATGCTTGGAGTCGAAACGGACCCCCCGACGCGCTTCAACAAAGCCGATTTCGCCGTCTCTGCCGCCGACCGCATCTTCATCAGTCTGCCGTCGCGCGCCCAGCCAGAGCTCCCCGCGACGCTGGCATCCTGTCCGGCAGCCGCATCTGTGACCGCGCCAACCTCGCATTCGCGAGCGGCGTCAAGCCGGGGGCGTCGCTGGCCGAGCAAGCCATCTCATCTCCTATCTTTCGCGACCCGAACAAGCCGATATCCCTGCAGCAGCTGATCGACGCCGCCGCAGTCTAGCGCGTCCAGGTCGAGTCCCGCTGGCGCACTCGCGAGCACCTCGCGATCGAGGCCGCGCGCCGCCCCGCTGGTGCGCAGCCCCGCTGGTGCGTCCAGCAAGCCGGGGCACGTCGACGGCCGCGTCAGCGCTTATCGTTTGTTGTCGCGGGCCATCTGTGGGTGGGACTTTCAGTTGGCCCGCCGTCTTTGCGCCGGCTCCGAGCAGGGCGCCCGGGCCCTGTCCTTCGACGATGGCGCCATCTCCCTCGCGAGCGCCAACGAGTTCGCCTGCTCGCCTGCCGGCGCGCAGGCGCGCTCGCCGCCCAGAATCACCGACGGGCCCTTCGGTCCGCGGGGCCTGTGGGGGCGTCGCATCGCCCTCCAGTGGGCCAATGCCTGCGGCCCCCAGGGGCCGCGAGAGATTGCCGAAGAGGGCTGCTCCATGGTCGACGCCCGCTGCCAGCCCGCCTTCGCCACAAAGGAAGCGCGCGCGGCCGAAGTCGAACAGTGCGTCGCCGACCGTGGGCGGCCGGGGCCCGCCATCGGCGCCCCCGCGCCGAGCAAGCCCCAGGTCCGCGCCTTCCACGTGCGCGCCGCTCAGTCTGCGCCTGGCCCTGGCTGCGTGCCGTGCTCCGTGGCTGGCTCATGACGTCGCTGGACCTCCAGGAGGACCTCCCGTCCTACCTCTGTTCGGGCCAGCCCCGCCCGCGAGGTTCGCCATTCTGCTGGGGGGTGACAGTCTCACGGGCGAGCGCGTTCCAGATCGGGCCATCGCAGACACGCGACCCTCGTCGCAAAACAATCATGGGCATGCGCAACATCGTCGGCGCAGCCAGCTACCCGAAGCCGCCTACACGTCGCGCGGCAGAGCTTCGTCACGGGCCACAATTTGACAGAGAATCGCGCAGCGCTGGTCCCCGACGCCGTCGAAAACGCGCTCCCATTCACCAGCTTCGACTTCGCCGCGGCGTTCCCGCCCCTTGGTCGCGTCTGGTCATTTGCAGCGCTGCAGCGTCCCAGGGCCCCCGCTGGCCCCCCCCCCAACCCCTCCCACGCCATGTGCTACGCGCCGCGCTGGTGCGCGAGAGTCGACCAACGGCGTCCGCCACGACGCGTTCCCGTTCGAGTCTGGCGTCGCGCGGGGGTGCCCAGCGAGCGGGGCCGCATGGGCCATCGCGATGGGCCCGCTCATCCGCCACCTCACTTCCTTCGTCGGGAACGCAGATGGCACCCCGACCCTCGCCGCGGGCTGCCTCGGCGGGCGCTGGCGATCCCAGGTTCCTCGCGCGCTCGTTTGACGCGCTGCGCCGCGCGCCTGTCTCTGAAGCCGCGCAAGCGTGTGGTCGCCCCGCTCTGGGCCGACGAGATCCAGGCACGATTGCCCGCGCCCGCGCCCTCCCGGCCGCTTGTTCGCCCCTCGCGGGGAGGCTTCTCGTCCGCGAGGCGAGCCAGGTACCTCGTGACCTTCGCTGGGCCATCCGCCCCTTGCGCCCGTCAATGCCTTGCCCGCGGGCGTCAGCGGTGGCCGAGGGGTCAGATTCCCACTGCCTGCAAGACGCATCCACACTGCCCGCGCTCAGCGAAATGCGCTGCTCAATTTTTCCCCTTGGAAAAGAAGCGCTGCCCGTCGCGAGCAGCGCGTCTTCAACCCAATATCGAGCGCGCCGCCGAGCTCGTTCCGCGAAGCGGATCTCGCTGCCATGGCGGAGCGACTCCCGCCATTTGTCCCGCGCTCGGCGCCTGCATGGCCCAGCCGCGCCGCCGCGCTGCGTTCTGTCATCTTCGCGCTCCAGGGTGACTCGGAGCTCTGTCGCGATCGTCTGCTAGACGCCGCATGGAAAGAGTGGGCATTGCTTCATGTTCAACAGTGGGTCGCAGGCCGCTGGTCGCCGCCGTTCTGTAGCGAGCAGCGCCCCATCGCACGGCGCTGCCATTCACTGTCTAACAGTCACCGCCAGCCGCCATTCTCAGCGGCAGCGAACCGCGCTGCCCGCCTGGAAATTCACGAGGCCCCGTTGGCGGAGCCAAAGTGCAGCGTGCCATCGCAGTGGCCGCAGTGCTGCCTTCAAGCAGCCCTTCACTGTCATTCTACCGAAGCGCCTGGTCGCGTGGGGCATCCGTCAGCCGCCCTCGCAAGACGAGCATTCCAGGCGATGGGCCGGCCTTTCTCTGGAGCTCCACACTGCCCGCCCCAGCTGGCGGTGGGCCACGATCAAGACCCACAGCAGTGGCTGGACGACCGCCGCCCTCATGCACGTGCTCGCCCCGAGCCACTGCGTGTTCGGCGTTTCCCCGCTACCTCTCCTGCTCCGTCCTCCTGAGCCTTCACCTGCTTCTTCCCCGCCCCAGTCCATACTCACGACGTGGGCCCTCGGCCCAGCTGCGACGTATTTGCCAGATCCCACCAACGACCTATCTTTGCGGCGCGCGGCCCGACGCGTGACGTTCGCTTTCCGCACTTGCAGCAACATGAAGCCTGCTCCCTCATCGACGGCGAACGCTTTAGCGCCTGCCTCCACTGCAGCCCGCGCCCCACTTTGGCGCTCATCGTCTCCTGTCCCGCTCGCTCAGCCGCCACATTTCCTCGGTTGAGTCGAGCGTTTCGGAGGCACGCGTCGCCCCCAGGGTGCTGTCACTCCTCCTCTTCCTCCTCGTCCTCCTCCTCCTCCTCCTCCTCCTCCTCCTCCTCCTCCTCCTCCTCTTCCTACTCCTCCTCCTCCTTTTCCTCCTCTTCCTCCCTTTCCTCCTCCTCCTCCTCCTCCTCTTCCTCTTCCTCTTCATCCTCGCCCTCCTCCCCCTCCTCCAGTCATCCCCCCCCCCTCCAGCCTTTTCCGCCTTCCCCTTTCTCCTCCTCCTCCTCCTCCTCCTCCTCCTCCTCCTCCTCCTCCTCCTCCTCCTCCTCCTCCCCTTTTCCTCCTCCTCCTCCTCCTCCTCCTCCTCCTCCTCCTCCTCCTCCTCCTCCTCCTCCTCCTCCTCCTCCTCCTCCAGGCAGGTGCGTGGGAGGGACTATGGAAGGAGGAGGACATCGGCGCGCCTCGGGGGGTCGTGGCCAGAGAGCCGGGGCTTCGGGGGCTTCAGTGAACGATGAGGGGGATGGTTGGAGGCGACGCCAAGGGCGAATGACCTAGGAGCAGGCAGTACACGCGTTCGCCGGGGAGCTTCGCCGTAGGCGTGGACCCATCGGTGCCCCTGGATACTTGTATTTTTCTCCCCAGGGCTATTCGCCCCCATCGTCGCCCCCCGCGATGGGGAAGAGGACGGCCGTGATGCGGGTCTTCGCTGATCGAGTAAGATGTGCGGGGCAAGGGGTGCGGAAGACAACTTGGGGGGGCAGGGGAGGCGGAGGACGGCGGCGCCTTGCCCTGGCCTTCTTCCACTTGCTGCTGCTGCTGCTGCTGCTGCTGCTGCTGCTCCTGCTCCTGCTCCTGCTGCTACTGCTGCTGCTGCTGCTGCTCCTGCTCCTGCTCCTGCTGCTGCTGCTGCTGCTGCTGCTTGTGCCTCTCCCATTCTCCCTCTCTCCTCTCAAGAGTTGGCTGGAAGCCTCTGGAGGCCCAACATAGATTCCAAGGCACAACATCTAATCTTGTTGTTCGATCCTGCACCCTCGATCCTCATTTTCTTGCTGCATGTACCTGTCATCCCTGCTACCCCTCCTTTTCCCTCTGCCCTCCCCTCCCCCCGCGACCAGCCGAACTTCCCACATTCCATTTGCTTCTGTGGAGGCAAGGGAGCGCGGATTGGGACTTCGACTTCGTGGGTGGTACCGTCGATGTCGTGGTGCCGCGCGAACAGTGGGAGACCTTGCAGTTCAAGACGGAAGGTATGAGACTCGTGCCCCTCGAGCCCATGCGAATGCCCAACGGTGGCAACCCCTTCTGCTCTGCAGCGGAGATCCGCCAGGTGGGTGCGGACTCGGACGGACCGAGCCTTGCGGAGTGCACTGTTGTCTTCGACACGAAGGCTCGCAACAGCATTTGCAACGCCGCGGTTGCGCGAGCGCTGGGTCGGCTAGAAAAATATTTGCACCCCCCACCCCTCTTGGAACATGGTTGGGGGGGGACTGGCGATTTCGAGAGTTGATGTTGGCTTTGCCTTCGGATTTGTTCCCCACTCTTCCGCCCTTCAGGTCAGGAGCTGCGCGAGGTCACGGAGGCGCAGGTGTTCCCAGTGCAGTTGTCTTTGGGTCACGGCCTCGGGCGATAGTGGGAAGGGAGGGAGGAGGGAATGGGAGGCAGGGGCGGCGAGACAGGGAGGGAGTGTGAGTGGTGAGGTGGTCACAGCAGGAGGGCACCGCCACCACCACCACCACGACCACCACGACCACGACGACGGCGACGGAGCCTAGGTGCGCGAACGATCCGCATCGAGGAGGGAGGAGGGAAGGAGAGGCAGGGAGGGAGCGGGGATGCGGGGATGGAGAGGGGAGGGGCCCCTGCCGACCAGCAAAGCAGGCGCGTCCGCACGCACGTCCCAGCCGGGATGCTCGTAGGCGGGATGCTGCTCGGTGCGCTCTCGCGCTGTTTGGGCCCAAGGCCTCTCAGTCGACCTCTCGGCTCGCCTCCGCCCAGGGAGGCGTCCTCTCAGCTCCACTGAATCACTGGACAAGTGGTCGTTCACCACTGATTCAGTGGTGAAGGACCCACGCGGTGTCAGAAACCAACGCGCAGGTCGTCACGACACAGACTTGCTCTTAACTTGTGCCGCTCACCGAGACGAAGGACCCGTAGCTTGCCGCCTTGTTTCGCTTGAAGGCGGGCGATCTTTACCTCGCCCGCCTCGTACCCTGAGATCCGACGACGCTCACAAGTTGTTCATCGTGAAGCATGACCACAGGCGTCCTGGACCCCAACCCTCTGCGGCGTTGCTCGAGCCAGTTGGATCTGCTGAGCGCCCCAGGGCCCGAAGCCTGGCGACAACGCCCAGCGTGAAACAATCGACATATCTCAGGACGTGTGTTAGCCCAACGTGGGGGTCCCAAGGTCAGCTCCGCCGATAGGACGCAGCCTGGCCAGGCCCTCATCACACCGCCTTCGTCGTATTGCAACGCCTCGGTGGACAAGCGCAAGTTGGTGCCAACACACTTTTGGCCTGCGGGTCGAGAGCGAACCTCTTCCGGTTAAAAGCTAGGCGGGCTACGCAAAGCTCTAATTGGGGAGACAGAGCACAGGCGGGCGGGGCCTCAGGCGGCCGGAGGGCGGGCCGGGGTGCAGGCGGTGCCGAGGAGCTTGCACAAGAAAAAGTTGGCGCCAACACACGTCCGGAAGATCGTCGGGACCAGCTGCCGACGCCAGGGTCTCAGCGCCGTTTAGCCGTCGCTCCGCTCTGCCTGGAGGGCCGCCGGCGTCCGACGTCGGCCGGGAGCGCCGCTCGCTCCAGGGCGAGGGCGGAGCCCGGCCGCCGGCCCGGCCGATCCGCAGATTCGTTTGGACGTGGAGGCGGGCTCTGCGAGTCGCGTCGACCGCTGGGGTGCCCCGCTGGTCCAGGGTGGACTGGGCCTCGGAGGCGACGGCAGGGGCGAGAAGCCCGGAGACGGGCATTGCACGCGTTCGTCGGGGAGCCTCGCCGACCGCACGGACCATCGGAGCCCTCGGATGCAGGTGTTGCTTCCCCCCTTGGGCTATTCGCCCCTGTCGTCGCCTCCGAGGGTCGGCGGCGTCGTCAGGGGCAGCGTCAGAGGGAGGCAGGTTCAGGGCCAGGGGAGGCATTCGAATCGCACGTGCCACCGCCAGTGTAACAACGGGGCCTCTGATGGTCCACTCCGCCCAAGAACGTGCGGCTTCGGTACCGGGGGCCCATCGATCGCTGGTCTATCGGCGATGTATCGTCGATTCCAGGTCGATGCTCCCCCCCCCCGAGCAAGGTTCCCACGTCCCCCACGTCAGAGTCAAGAGGGGCATTGGACCAGCATGCGCTGAGATCCGAGCGTCGCAGGTTTTGTTGCATTTGGCGTCTTCGCCCAGTTTCGGCCCCCTGGGGCCCTCACAGATCGATACGGCTCGAGAAGTACCGCAGTAAGTTGGGTTTTGCAGTGGTCGTGATTTTCTATGATGCGCATCGTTGGATCTCGGGGTTGGCAGGGGGGGCGTCCCGTGACATTCGAAGGCGTGATTTTATTCGCGGCGTGCACTCGGTCAAGGTCTCGGCACCTTCCCCAGGGACGGCCGTTCATCTTGATGTCCTTTTTGTCGATCTTGGGGCCAAGCCAGGGCCCCCAGAGGCCGAAAACGGCGAAGACAGCCCGCTGGCTTTTCAGTGCATTGGAGGTCAGAGGATCGGATCTGGGTATCGGGCGGTTCAGCTGCGTCGCTGCGTCCTTTCCGGCCGTCTTTGGCAGACGCGGCTTTGGCTTGGCTGATGCTCGCTCGCTTTTCGGTTGCGCCGTCGCTATGGGCGGCATTGTTAAGGGGCACCGAAGAGGAGGATAAACTCAGGGGGGGAAGCATCGACCCCTCAATGACCCATTCATCGCCGAGGGGGGCTCGATATCCCATCCCGCCCAGCCGCGTGCGGTGTATCGGGAGTCGATCGCCGATGTATCGGTGAGGTATCGCCGATTTCAGGTCGACGTTTCTCCCCTGAGCTGGCCTCCCTTGTCGTTCCCCCTCGCTTGATGGATCGGGGGGGCGTCTCTGAGGCCAGGGCCCAGACGGCCCCGTGGTCGCGGAGGTCATGGCCTACGGCGGCGGTTCCGAGGCCTTCGAGGGTCTCGGCCTGGGCGGAGACCGTCCCGCTGTCGTCTTGGGCCCCGACGTCCTCTGCCGCAGGCGGCTCATCCTCTGCCCGAGGAGCCGAAGGAGGACACAATCCCGGTCAGGAATGCTCGCTCAGTATGTGTCGCGCCACCGGTTTTGGCCCACCACGCTTCGGCGCGACACGCCGTCCACGTCGTGGTCTCTGAGCATCGACGTCCCGAGCTTCCCAGGCCTCCCGTCCGGCGGAGCGGACCGACACGCTGTCTGGTTGCGGGGCAGACCGTGTCGCCAGGGCCGCCGCCGCGACACGCTGAGCCGAAGTTCCCGACCGTGCAGCAACACATGTTTTCGGAGGTACGCGGATATCTTGGGTTGGTTTTGGGCCCCCCTCCATGCTTCGGGCTCCCGGGGCGGCGTCAGGGGCGCCGCCAGGGCTGGCGGAGGCGCGCCGGCCCAAGAATTCCGTGCGGAACTCCGGAAGTCTATGTGCATGGAGCTGTGGATCCCTCTCTAAGGAGGCAGCTCGCTTGGATGCCAGCAGTGATGCCCAGGATCAAGCGGAAGCACTTGGAATGAGCCGTGGTGGCCGGCAGAAAATAGGAAAAAGGCCGAAGTTTGGGTCTGCGGGGTCTAGAGGCCATTCGCCACACGATTCGCCACGGCAGTCCATAAGAAATTGTTTGGTGGCGCAAAGCCCGGTGTGCGAATATCAGTCACATGTGCGAGCTTCGTGTAGTCACGAAGAGCAGCGATATTACATTATATATCACGCCAAGGCAAGGCAAAGGGATATAGACAGACATTAATCTCCGGCGTGCTAAGCAGGACAACTGTTGTTCCCGCCGTGCCGCACTGTTATCCTGCTTCCCGCTCCCCTCTACGAGTCCCACGCCCAATCGTACTACTTGGCCGCAACTCATCACCTCGACAAATTCCGTCCAGCACTACTGCCTCAATTGACCTGATCAGTCTGAAGTGTTCACTCCTGGCTTGGTCGGCACCGCCCGGGGAGGGGGGCGGCCTTTGAGAAGGCCGCCCCTCTCCCGCCGACCCCTCTGTGGCGCCGCCAACTGAGCAGCGTGTCGTTCCCTAGTTCCATGGGGGCCAGATCGGGGCCACTATACGATGTGATGTTATCCATCACCTGGCGGCACATGGCGGCCCACACACAGTCCATAGAATTGTTTCGATACCTGCCGCCCGGAAAAACCGGCCAGAAACGTATTTATACATTATACGGTTTTCTTTGGCGGTTTGGCGAAGCCCCATGTGGCAGGGCCCAGAGTAATGTATGTACGCGCGGTTGCAACCAGAGGCCGTGGGCTAGTTTTGCCCCGCGTGCCACGTGGCTTCAATTACGGCTTCCGTCCCCGATGGGCGCGATCAGTATGTTTTTCATTCTCCGGCCCCCAATGGCGTCTCGTTCGTCTTGGTGCCAGGGGCCTCGGACTCACTTCCAGGGCCGTGCGACCTCCGAGGGGAGTCTTGGACACATTGGACAAAGAACAGCAATTAACTGGCGCGGCGCTCCTCGCGGGCGCCCGAGTCCAGGCAGGCGGCCATGGAGCGTGCCCGCATTGTCGTCATTGTTGGTGCCCTTGGGAGGATGATGCAGACTTCCCTCAAGCGGGCCGCTGGTATGCTCATCGTGGCTGGCATCCCGCAGGACCGACCTTGTCCTATGGTCCGTGCCTACGACATGGCTAAGAAGGTCATCCTTGATGTCGCTGACTCGACCGAGGCTCTTGACTTCCTCAACACAGTCCTCACTCAAGCCCCGATCGCCCTCCCTGACAAGATCTACTCGCAGCAGCAGGTCATGCTACGTGCCAAGCGGGACCTCGAGCGGGTCTCGCACGCTTTTCCTTGTTATGGGGGAAGGTCGTGGGTTTATTGCCACAGCGACGCAGCAAGGTGGCAAAGAAATGGGGTCTAATGGATTGGGAGGAGATGTATATGTCCTGCGTATTCCAGGGGACCCAGTGGAACCGTGCCACCTAGAGCTTGTGTCTAATGAAGCTGAGCAACCGCAGATCGCCATATCCCCCCTGAGCAGTTTGCATAATTTTATACCATTGTGTGTCCCCTACTCCCGCGGCTGCAGGAAAGGGTTGACCACCTTAACGCATCGCAGGCCGTTAGGGAGGACGGAAAGTGGCCTCAGGCTATGGGTGCAGCGATTTTTTGACACAGCCGACAATGGGTCCCACAGCTGCGATCTGTATGACCCATCTAGCGAACCTTTTTGCTCGGATCCAAAGGACGGTTGTCTTGGAGATGTGCCTCCCTCTCCCCCGTGCGCCCTCCCAGTTGGTGCTCCGCTCCGTCGTGTGCCTGGAGACCCGAGCCCTGTGCCTCCCTCTGTTGCTCCGAGCAGGGCCCGTCCGTTTGCTCCCTCTTCGCAGATGAAGATTATTGGAATACGTCTGCCCTTTTTGCCGCTGTTCGGTGTCGAAGTACGAAAGCAGCCCCTCGCTGTGCTCGCTTCCTGAAGCTCGCGAAGCAAATCACGATATTTTGTGCTCAGCCCACGGACAAATTGCGGATCTCTATGTGCTTCGGCGAGACTTTCGACAGTTTGGGGTCGGTCATCCTTTGTTCCCTAGGTCTGCCTGCGTCGGTGGAGTCATAACATGTATTCAGCATGGTTTCGCCAACCTCTTCACCTCCATCTCGCACTACCCTGTCATCGATGGTCGCCTCCTAAAGTCCCACTTCTGGGCCATTTTTATGGGGACCTCTGTATCTTGAACGCACGCATGCCTCACACGAACGGCCTCACGACCATATATGCCAACGCATTGCGTGATATCCTTCATGCCCTCAACCTGTTGAATATCTCACTGCGCTGACTGGTGGTTGGAAGTTTGCGCTCTCCTCTGACGGGCGGCCCCGCGCAGATGGCAGTCGGTGGCCGCGTGGAAATGGCAACCATACCACTGTTTCATAGGATTGGCGGGTCTTGGCTTCAACCTTACCAATATGAGAATACGGGGAGGGAGAGCAGGGACGGTACTACTACTGCTACTCACACCTGTAGGCTGGACCGTGTATCTAATACGATCCCATCTGCGATGGTCTCCGACCTCCCTATTGAATGTGAAGTACTCGGGCACCTGAAGGCGGACATGGTCCCGGACCACATCCCGATTGTGATTTCCATCCGCACTTTCAAGCCTCAGTATGCCCCCAAACGTATCGCCCCCTGGATTACTCGGCACCCGATGTTTTCTGATCTTTCGGGCGGGCTATCCAAGTGTTCTCTGATGGCGACCTTTTGGGGCCGTTCTGCTGCTACCGAGTCCCGGATGTTCGAAGTTGCTGAAGAGGTTTAACAAATTGTCAACCTGAAACAAGCTGATACGATTGAACTCAGACACTTTCGTACCCTGCAAGCCCTACGTGCCTGGCGTGCAGTTGACTCTTTCAAGCTTGGGGTGGCCATCGGCGCTGACCCAACACTTTCTCAGCACTTTCCTTCTGGCCTTCTGAATGCTCGTATTGATGCGCTCGCTTCTTCTCCATGTCCAGTGTCTCCACAACTCTCTTCTGTCTGCTGCGGAGGACGAGTCAACCAGGCCCCTGTAGGGGCTCCTACGGACGGCGTGTACAATGCCCGGGGGAAGCTGGCGGCTCGGATGGAGTCCTGGTGGAACATGGAACGTCGCACCTGGCTTCAAGGGACCTTCTCGGCTTCGGGCGACTCTAGCAGGACAGAAGAGGAGGCTGTCCAAGCTCTCCAGGATCACTGGAGTGCCGTCATTGCAGCTACCGGGGACGACGAGTCCCTCTTGCCCAAGCTGTTTCACTGTGCCGAGAAGTTACCAGATGTGCCCGACGAGGCTGCTGAAAACTATCTTACGCAGCACAGATGGATGTTGGAGCAGGACGAACTGATGCAGAGGAGGAAAGACAGCATGCCTGGGGAGGATGGGGTTCATTACTTGGCCTCGAGGGTCCCTGCCGATGGTCTGTCTGCCCATGACTGAATGCTAAGTATCTTGCCTCCTTGCGAGACCCTCGTGCTGGCATCCTTGATGACATGAAGCATGGTCTTGTGGTATTCCTTCCCAAAAAGGCTCGTGCACACAAAGTTCGGGGAGTGGTATATAGGGAGCCCGCTGTTACTAGACCCTTCAGTACGGCGATCACTGATGCGAAGCTTTTTCGGCTTCGATGGCGGTGGTCTTGACAAGACAGATCGCTAGGCACGGACTGCTCAGCTCGTCTCAGGGATTGTTTCGCGGTCGCGACATGCTCGTCAATTTGATGGAAGCGGAACGCTCCCTTTTTCCCCAGCGTCTCCGCGATCGGCACTCTAGCGGTTTTGTCCTGACGGGTTTCGGATCCGCCCTCCCCTCCATCAAGATCTCATATGTCCTCGAGGTGTTGGCCTCCACGGGTGCCCCGTTGGCAGTTATCCTGTTCTTGGACAGGACTTTTACTTGAATAACACTGTTGTTGTTCATATAGCTGGTCGTACCCTAGGCTTCCCCCATCGGCAGAGGTGTTCGGCAAGGGCGCCCGAGCTTCATGCGTCCATTTGTCTTGGCCGTTGATCCAGTGCGGGCATGGCTGCAGTCGCGTCTGCCGATGCATCTCCCCATGACGTTGACGTGCGCTGACGACTTCTGTTCTGGCCTGCGGTGCCCGCTTGATGGTATCGAACCCCTCTTCCAGCCTCTGAAAGTACTTAATCATGCTATCGGGCTGGCCTTCAATTTCCCGAAATGTCAGATTGTTCAGGTCTGCGGGCGGCTTTGTGAACTTTCTTTTTGTTTCGGGACCTTCTGAATGACCTCAGGGCTCCCTGCCGCCTCGTCCCAATCGCTTCCCGTTTTAAGTACCTTGGGACCTGGCTTGGCTTTGGGGCGGGGGAGGTTGCACTCAAAGAAAACGCGGCCAAACTTCGGAAGCGTGATCGGGAAATTCGTGATCTAGGGCTTGGCCTGGCCGAGTCCACTGTCTTTTTTTGTTCAGCACGTTTTGTGTATACTTTCTATATGTGCTGTTCCAGCTTCACAAGCTGACGTATGATGTAGACAAAGTTTACCAGTCGTTTGAGCGATTTCTGTCAGCTGGTCCTAATAACGCCCTCGCCTATGACATGCGCGCTAACCTCACAATGGATGGTTTCGCGGTCGAATCCCCCAGGCTTTTATTGATTGTGGGTGCGACCCGAGCCCGCTATAGCGCTCGTTGCGATGCACTCTCCCGCATCCGCACACTTGTTTCAAGCGTCTTTACTCGTGATGGCTGGTGCCCCTATCGTCAGCTTACCAGTTGGTGCGTCGCCGGCTTCGTCGCTCATCTCTTGTACATTCGGGACGAGTTCCAGGCTCGCAACTAACCCATTGAGTACGGAAGCCATGATGTGCAGAAACAATATGTGCGTGCGTTGAAACGATATCACGCACCCGCCGCCCCCCAGCATGAAGCTCTTCTCCGTCGCGCTTGTGCTTGGATCCCTGGGGCCACTATCCTGGACATCGGTCGTGTTTGTGTGCGCCTTGACCAGCTTCTCTTAAGTTCTATGCTTTGTGATGGTTTCCACCGCATGCACACTTCTGTCCGCTGCGGTCTCCCAGGCCCTCCTCAGCAGCAGTTTGAATCACGTCTTCGAACTTAGGCACGGTGACACCGAGCGTGCCGTAGGGCGTGGTCTCGTCTCACTCTTGAGCGTCTTTTCCGCGAAGAGGGTCGCCCCGCCAGCTCTTGAAAAGCTCGGGGGGCTCGCGTGCCTTTCAATCTTTTCGCTGCTCGCAGTCTGGCGCGGATCGTGCCCCTCCCTCTGTTGCACCGCCTGTGCGTGCACTTGCCTCGCTGATCGACTGGCGGGTGCTTCCAACTAATGGGCTGCAGGACCCGTGCCGGGGGAGCCCGCGAACTGCTCCACCTGCGGGTGGACCGCCTTTTCAAACAAACATCACACAGCCAGCGGGAATTGGCAAGACAACAAAAATACAATTACAACAACAACAACTAATTTAAGACCGTTCGCCCTTATATGCTTGAGTGTCCAATAACGCGTATGTCCCAAACCCTCGATACCCGCCCTCTTCGTCTTCGATCGAACCCCTTTTGGGGGGTAAACCTTTCTTCCCTGCAGGCCGGGCCCCGGCAAGCGGCGGGGCGGCCGCGGACCGTCGGCCTGGCCAGCGGCAGCGCTGATCGGCAGGGCGGCCGCGGACCGTCGACCCGACCCCAAGAGGGACGGACAGGGGACCGACCACGACGACGACGACGACGACGACGACGACGACGACGAAGACGACGGCGGCGACGACGACGACGGCGACGACGAGCGAAAGCGAGAGCGAGAGAGAACGACAGCAGGGCCACGAAGGACACGAAGTAGGCCACGAAGGGCGACAGCGGGGACACGAAGGGAATGCGTATGGGGCCACGAAGAGCGAGAGCGCGAACGAGCCGGGGTCACGAAGTGCAGATAATGCGGGGCCACAGAGGTCAACTATGGGGCCACTGAGGGTAGCAACTGGGCCACGTAGGACAGTGAGGGGGACACAAATGGCGACAGCGGGACCACGAAGGGCATGCACCTGGGGCCACAACGGGCGCGACTCCTGGGTGCCTGGGTGTCGGGAGCGCGGCGCTTGGGCAAATTGCCGGAAATTCCAACGCAGGGCTATTCGTCAGTAAGTTGCAAGCAAGTCTCCAGCGCGCGACTCCAGAGCGCCGGGAGAGCGATTCCTGAACAAATTGCAAGGAAATCCCAAGCGAGAGCGCGATTCCTGAATAAAATGCGAGGAAGTCTCGGGCGGGAGCGGGGGTCCTGGCTAAATGGTAAGGAAGTCTCAGGCGGGAGCCGTTGTTGTTGTAACCGGGGGCCAAGGGCCCAGTTTGAGCAGGAAGACCTTCCCTGTCAAAAAACAGGGTGCGAGCGTCGAGGGGCACACTTTGATTGAGAAAAAACAGTATGCACCGGTGGGGGGGCATCCACAATGATTATTTGTCAGAAGTGAGAACTCAACAGCAACAACAACAGCAAAACAACGGCACGCCGACGTTGGGAGCCCGTCACCGTCTTGCTCCTTCGTTGTTTGGCCGTTGGTTCCGAAGGCCTGGTGTCTTTTCAACGGTTACACGCTGATGGGTTCCACGAGGTGATGTGTCATCGACACGTTCATCCATATAATGTGTCATCGACACGTTCATTTATGTAATATGTAGTTCGTGTTTGGGCACCCCAAAACATGGCAGACTTGTGCTCGCAGCCTCGTCGCAGGAACTGCACCCCTAGGCAGCTGCAGCGCAGAAAGGGGCTCGGTCTGGTTTCCACCGGCCTGAAGCGCAGGGCTTTGGAGGAGGACGAGATGGGAGGCGGGGGATGACGAAGAGGACGAAAGGAGGACGATGGACGACGGAGGACGAAGGAAGAGGAACATTGGCTTAGCGTGTCGCGTCGTCGATTCTGGCCCGCCACGCTTCGGCGTCACACGCCAACCTCGTCCTGGTCCCCGGTCCTCGAGCGTCGACGCCCCGAGTTTTTCCCAGCCTCCCGCCCCATGGACCGGAGCGACACGCTTTTCCGGTTGTGAGGCATAGCGTGTCGCCGTGGCCGCCGCCGCGACACGCTGAGCACATGCTCCTGAGTGTACGGAGGACGAGGATAAGGGGTGGGAACAGGAGAATGAGGCCGAGGGGGCGCTGTTGACGAGGATTTGCCCTGAGATCCGACGACGCGGATAAATCCCATCACGTGAAAAATCAGATCCAGAGCCTTGGACCCCAACTTCACGCGACATTTCCCGAGCTGGATCAATCCGTGCGGGCCCCGGGGCCCGAAACCGGGCGAACACGCTTGGTGCGAAAAAGTTGCGACGCGAGCGTCAGCAGCAGCAGCAGCACCAGCACCAGCACCAGCACCAGCACCAGCAGTAGCACCAGCACCAGCAACAGCAGCAGCAGCAGCAGCAGCACCATTCTCCCTTTGCCCGAGCGTTGGTCGAACACGCGCGCGCGCGTACGTGCGCGTGCAGAGCCCACCTCGGCTCGAGTGGACGGCGGCCTGGCCGCGTGCCGCAGCGGCACAGGCCATGGTGGCCAGGGTGAGGCCAACGTCGGTGGTGGCCTGCGGCTTGGGTAGCGCCTGGCTGGGGGTGCTGAGCGGCTGGGACCCACACTTCCAAAATGAGCCCAGCCAGAGTAGAAACGGTCGGAGGATCGCACCGCATCGCCGATGCATCGGCGGTATCGGCGATACGGCGAGCCCGTCATTGTCCATCACGCCGTCGCCGATGCAGCAGCGATACGGTGCGATCCTCCGTCTGAACTGCTCCGGCCACGGGAAGATTTCCAAAAGAGGTCTTTGGAAGGGTGAAGTTGGGTGTCCGCACCAGGGTGTTCTCAATGGGTGCTAAATGATCCATGCATGGCTTATGTATCACCCAATCAAATGCTCGGGTATGATTGGCACCCACTACTTGTGGGCCTATTGAGGCAGGAATGCGACGTGCGAGCGTTTGCCCAGCCATCGTTGCCCGCCGTGCTACGTCGTGGGCGAATGCCCCGGGTGCACTGAAAGCCTGGTGCAATTGTCCAAAATGTGAATTCACATGTTCGTTTTTTCCAGAATGTGAATTTTCGTGTTCTGTCTGCGATTCAGAAAGAATACGAAATTCAGAACATGTGAATTTATATTTTGCGTGTTTCAACCATGTGCGTTCAACATGTGATGTCGCATTTTGGGTTTTGCAACGTATTTGTGCTGGCGACTATGGTTGAGCGATACGTTACCGCCAACGGACATTGTTCGATCCCCGTGTCAGGTCTCAATATGCCAGAGAGTAGTGTATGTCAACCATACCAGAGCATTTGAATGGGCGAACATTGCGCCACGATTGGATCATCAAGCACCCGTTGAGAAGAATCTGCGGCCGACAGCCACACTCACCCTCCGAGTCGTGCAGGGTCCAGAGTGGTTGGTGATAAGCTGGCCCTGGGTTGATCAGCTGGCCCGGTGATAAGACGGCCCTCGGGTCCAGGACCCGTTTCTCTCGGGGCCCGCTCCCTCCAAGAGCCTGGGCTCGGCGTGTCGCGCCGTTGGCTCTGGCCCGCCGTGCCGCGGCGCGACACGCCATCCACTTCGCGGCCCCCCCGCGGCGTCGACGCTCCGAGCCTTTCCCGAGCTTCCCACCCCGCGGAGCGGCCGGGGCCGCCGCCGCGACGCGCGGAGCACAAGGCTCCCAGCCCTGATGGGGGCCCCCCGGCCCTCGAGGGGCCCAGGGTTGGCGCCCCTCCCCCCCTGCGGGGGACCCGCGGGGGCAGAAGAGCGGGCCGGCCGGCTCCGGCGCGTCCTGGGGCAGGCGGCCGGAGTGCAGGCCTGGCACTCCAGCCGCTTGCCCCAGGACGAGGGGCCCCGAGTGCCCTCGAGTGCCGCCTGCATCTCCGGCCCCCTTGCACTGCAGGGGGCCCTGAGATTGCGGGGCCTGCCCGCCCGCCCTGTCGGCCCCGGCTTGCGCCTGCGCGTTCGTCGTTGTCTGCCTGCTTCTCCCCCCTCTTCCCCCTCCGCCGGGCAGCACAGCCTGCCTGGGGCTCGGGTGGCGGCGTGTCAGGACATAGCAGAGCCCATGCAGGGAGCGGGGATTGGAGGGGACGTCTCGGCCCAGGGCTGCAGCCTCACTCGGACTCGCCAGCGTTCCCCGTCTTGGGGTCCTGAAGGTTATGCTGGCCGCTCTCGTGTTCCCAGGGCCCTCGCGGGGTCGCAGGGCCGCGGAAGAACGGCTCGAGGTGGACAGCTGGTCTTGGGGGAAAGGCCCCGGGTGCCCCCGTTCTCCCCCCCGGCACGCCAGTCCAGCGGCCGACAGTTTTCAGACGGCGGCGGAAGCAAACGTTGCCCCCTCTCCAGGAGATGACAATATTCTTTCACTCGGGGCACCTCGAGCGGTCCACATGGAGACCCCTCATGGGGGGGCGAGTCTCACCCTCCCTGTGGTATTGATTGCCCCAAGGTGCATGGCCAGATACGCATCATGTCTCCGGAGGCCCTGGTGAGCCAGTTCCCCGTCACGAAGGGCCGGATTGACGGCACGACATCCATGTTCGGGGCCCCGTTCTACGGTTTGCGCATTCTCGGCAGGGTCGTGTTCGCAGAGTCGCCATCTGCTCACTGCCAGAGTGACGATTATTCTCTTCCAGTCCAGAGCTCGGCTGGCACCAGCGCGCGCTCTGCCCTCATCAACATAGTCATGATGCGGCGGGGAAATTGCACGTTTGTCAGGAAGGTACACTTGGCAGAAAAGTTCAAGGGCGCCCACGCTGCGATTATTGTTGACACAGAAGACTCGGGTAGGACAAGGGCCGACATCGCACGTGTGGTCATAGCAGACGACGGTCATGGCACAAACGTCAACATCCCGTCCATTCTGATCGCTTTCGAAGACGGCAAACGTCTCATTGACGCAGTTGCGAGCGACAAGCTGGTCATCGTGGAGCTTGCGTGGGACGTTCCGCTAGAACCAGTGGTGGTCATGGACCTCTGGATGAGCTCTGGGTCGCATGAGGCCAACCATTTCTTGCAGACATTCTCGCCGAGGCGCAAGGCGCTCAACGAGGCAATCAAGTTCGTCCCGCACTATCACGTATTCAATATTGCGCGGTCCACGGACCACGACGCCCAGAAATATTCTTCGTCTCTGTGTACAAACAACTCTGGTCTTTTCTGCGCCGACGACCCAGACGGCCCTGGGGGCGTGACAGGCAGAATGGTGTTGGAGGAGGACGTGCGCCAATTATGCATTCACGGCCTCGCGAACGTGAGCCGAGTGCACGCGGACGGTAGTATAGCGTACGACAGTCATAAACGGGAGTACGCGGAGAAATATTGGGACTATTTGGAGAGGTTCTGGACCGAGTGCCCCTCTGACGCCGAGGAGAGCGTCAGTGCAGCGCACCGCTTTGGTCTGCAGTGCTCCGAGAGGCTTGCTCGCGATGTCGGCATAGACATCGAGGCGGTCAGGAGGTGCACCTCGGAGCGTTCAGAGGAGCTCCTCCTCCAGCAGCTCGAGGCCTGCCCTCTCCTCCCGCTGCCTCCTCCTCCTTCCCCTGCCTGTCCCCCTCCCCCTTCTGCCCTCTGTCTTCCTTCTTCGACTTCCTCCCTCGCCTCCCTCCGCCTGCCTCGCCTTGGCCCCCTCCCGAGCTCCTCCAACAGCTCGAGGCCCCCGCCTGGTCGCCCCGGGCGCTTCGCATCAACGGCTGGCGGTACGCCGGTGCCCTCGACGCGGAGCCCGATGGAATGAGAGTCGGAGGTGATGGCAGCTGTGGATACGTGAACCTGGGTTTCGGACGGATTCCGTTTTCCCCATATCCTACGGTGGGGTTCTCGCTTTTAGTCTTTAGTGTGACTTCTCCGCGCACTTCTCCTTCTCGTTACCCGCACTCAGACCGTCCAAACTGAGACGTCTTTTCAGTGATATTCACTCACACCCAGACTTACTCACAGTCACACTCACTTGCACTCATACGCACGCACATTCAGGCTTGCACAGACCCCTCACGCCCGGATCCTCACAGTCTGACTCAATCGTACTCAGACAATTCACACCCAGACTCGCCCACACTCAATATCGCTTACACTGAGACTCACTCAGACCAATCATGCTCAGACTCACCCATGCTCGCCGCAATGTAGCAGGCGTGGCACTTGGGCAACCCAATGGGGGAGCCGACAGGAGGTATGATGTTTTCCCGTTAGCTTCCAGATTGTCGTGGTATCTCGAGTGGTTGGCCTCTTTGTCGCCGCCTACCCATTTCTTCTGAGAGCCTCTGATGACCGCGATGTAGCAAGCGTGACACTCGAGCATCCCGGGAAGCCGTCAATTGAGTATGTCCTTGTCCCGCTCGCGCCCAAAGTGTGGGGATGCCTCGAGCGGCTCCCTGATTTTGGCACCCCCGACTCTTCCGCACGGCGATGTAGCAGGCCCAGCACATTACCCCACGGAGCAGCCGCCAGGTGGTGTTACACTTGTCCTCTCGCGCCCACATCGTTTGACGTCTGATGCGAAGTGCTGGTTTGGGCACCCCCGACCCATTTCTCCAAAGGGGAGCCGCCAAGGAGCGCTTAGTCGCCCAGACAATCCTAGACGGAAGTGCCAGCAAGTGATATGCACCGATGGGGATCTCCGCGCTGATTAACGCTCAATTCCGCAGTGTTCCTCATACTTCGGTCTGCGAGGGCCGTTCTCGGGCCCGTGGACCATCACATATGGATCCGAGACGAAAATTGTCCCCAGGGACAGGGTCAAGCCTGTTCGTTCTCGCGTACGTATGCAACCGATCCATCGGAAGTCCAGGGAGCCAGAGGGGCAGGAGCTGTGCATACATGGGTGGCGCGCGAGATGCGCCAAAATTCCAGGCACGGCCGTGGGAATGGTGGCCAGTATGTGCATTCGCTCCGGCAGGGAATTCGGAACAGTAGCTCTAGCTGGCTGGGCGCCAGCCGAAGTACCGATCGGATTGGGGGGCTGGTGCTGGCGCTGTTCGGAGTACCGGAGCCGGCGTTTCGGGTGGAACGCGCCTAGAGGTGCCCAACGCCCTCGAGTTCCCCACGTCCGCGAATGCGAGCAACGCCAGCGCCAGGCATTTGTTCCCGCGCGCCCTTCCATTCGGACCAGCAGGGAATATTGAACAGCACCCGTACACATGAGCTGGTGAACAGCACGTGATTTGGCCGGCCTTGGCGAGAGTTGGATACACAAGTGGCCAGATGCCGTTCCAGCGCTCGGTCCTTCTACGGCTATGTACCCAGCCCTCTCAAATTGGGTCGGAGTACATCGCGTTGCATCGCCCATGCATCGTCGTTGCGGTTCGATGTAGAATCCGATGTTTTCCACGCTGTCGACGCCGATGCATCGGCGATGAGGCGCGATCTTTCGACACCATGTACTCGGACCCATCCTGGAGGCATCTAACTAGGCGGGGCCTCCACATGTGTATCAAGCGACGGGCTCTGGATGCTCCACATGTGAATCCAGCCGTTTGTGTTTCCAACTCCGTGCTGAGGCCGATGGGCAGTTAGCCGATGGCCCAGAGGTCCTGGAGCGCCCCCACCCCCGAGGAAATGTGAGCAGAGGGGACGTTCCTCTCCTGGCCCCCTTCGTTCCCCCCCACTGCGCCTTGCCGTCCCCTGCTTGTCCTGCTCCCTCAAGTGCTCGTCCCCATTTTCTTCTCCGCCTACTCCGCCTTGCCCTTGTCCTCATTGTTCTCCTCCTTCCAGCCTCCTTCTCCCGACGAGTAAGAGAATTTGACCGAGAGTCCAGTGCAGATGCCTGTGCCGTCCTCGAGGTGGATCCGTGTCGTGCCCAGGTCGGGGTGGGGGACCTCTTCTCAGCGGCAGATGGATTACGGAAGAACCCCGCTGCGAAGGCAGATTTCTTGACCTCTGCGAGCGCGGAATGCTCGAAAACATGGAGATTTCAACGAAAGCATTATGGCTGGAACAAGGACGCCCAAGGATTGGAACTCGACATCGCTCCAAAACTTGTCTTTTCTTGCTCTCTTAGGGCGGCTGTCACATGTGTTGGCGATTTTCAAACAATGTGTTCCAGATCAGAGAGAGGATGTGGAGGTGGTTCCTGGTCCGCATGATCCAATCTCGAATGGTACGCGCTCTCGGCGTCGCGCGGGGTCCATCCTCTGACGATTCGTTTGCGCCTCTTCGGGCGCGAGTCGCCAGGCCCGCCTCGCCTGACTGCAAGTCGCAGGCGAGTCGACAGCATCGCCTCTCCAGGCTGATGCTGTCGACCGCCTGCCCCCTGACTATCTCCAGACACCGGCTGACGAAGATGAAGTCGATCAGTTTGCCGCCTGCAGTCCAGTGGAGGACACCATTTGGCCAACCTGCTGCCCTCGTGCTCCATGGTGTAGCTGGATATTGAAGTCCCCACCACACACGATTTTTGCACCGAGCCGAGAGGCATCATCCATGGCAGCGCTAAGCTGATCAATTGTTTTGTGACAGATTTCAGCAGGATAGCCCGCATCAGGAACATAAGTTGCAATGGGCTTGAATGGCCGCCCAAACATTTGAACATTAAGTACAATAACCCGGTCTGAATACATCCGTAAACTGATGAGTTTTCGGACGTGGCGACGGTGAACAAGAGCAGCGATTCTTGCCGAGCAGCAGCAGGCAAGATGCGTGTAGAGTTGATGCCAGTCTATCAGATCCAAGATACGCGCTGGCGTGCGAGTTTTGCTGAACAGAACGACGTTCCACCATATGCTGTGTGATTCGCGCAGAAATTCCGCAATGCGCGCTGGGTTGATATACAACCTAGCGGTCTTGCAAAACACGTGCAGAGTTCCATGTTGCGCATGGGGTGAAACTCGATTCGACCTCGGCTGTCCCTAGTGGTGCGTGGTCTCGCCACCCTTCGTCTTGTCTTTGCCGCCGCCCTTGGTTGCTTTGTCCCTGTTCTCGCGGAGCATGTCGCGGAACTTGGGATGCTCATCCGTGACCATGTATGTTCCCCATTCCGGCCTGCACTTCACATTGAGAACCCCGTTGGCGAAGAAAACCTTCATCACGAGGCCACCGGACAAGCTCGCCTTGCCGACGTTGGAGGAAGGCTCCCAATCAACATTGAGGTCTGACCGTGACCAGCCCCATGTTCACAAACGTACAGTGCCGTTTTTAATACATGCTCCGCGTGCGGACCATGTATTAAACATGCAGGGATTGAGTATTAAAAACAACGATGAATTCGTGCATTGATTTATTAGTAAAGTAAGCATGTATTAAACATCCGATGTTTTTTCCAACAAAAACAAATCCTATGTATAGAAAAACTGCCTTTTTTGTGTTCCAGAAGCAATGCCCCGAACAGTCTTCTTGTCAGGCGAAAGATCTGGCCTGGCCCACACATGTCTGTTTCCAGCTTGTCGATTTGTGCACGGTCTCAGCGGCCCGACCTCTCTCCGCCTGCGAGCCGAGTTTTGCAAAGACGGGACCCTCCGAGGTTGCCCTCGATGTAAATCTCCGATGGTTGCGGGCCCCACGATGTCCGCAGTGCATCCTGGACCCACTGTGGGGCCCCATCAAAACTCACCAAGGAACACAAGCCACCAGGGACAGCCGAGCAAAGACTCTCCAACTCGTTCGTGGGGGGCCCTTGACGTATTCGTCTTGTCATCCTTGTCTTGAAGGTCCTACAACCAGCCGGCGTAGTCGACAATCCTCCCTGCCGTGTGATTCCTTGTCCTGCTCCTCCGCCTCGCACGTGGAAAACAAAATTCATTCTCCAAGGAGCTGGTGACGCAGGCCGTCTGTTCGGCGTTCACCTCGCAGCCGGACGCGTGCCGCCAGGAACTCGAGGAGCAGGACGGGCAAGGGAACCACCGCCCGCCCTTCGTCCGCTTCCCCGCCTTCGTCCGCGGGGGGACAGACGAGAGGGGGGGGGGGGGGGAGAAGGGGGGGGGGGAGAAGTGGGGGGGGGAGCGGAGAGAGGGGGGAGGAGGGCAGAGGCGGGGAGGGAGTGGGGGGGTGGAGAAAGCGAAGGAGGCACGGAGGACAGAAGGACGGGAGGGCGGGACGGAAGGACGGGAGAGAGGGATCGGATGGAGAGGGGGATGGCATCGTGGACAGCGGTAGACGCGATGATTGTAATGGCGATGTTGGCGACGATGATGACAGCGACGACGGCGCGGCCACTGACGGCGACGATGTTGATCGCGCCGGCGACGATGACGGCGTCCTCGCGTTGGCGATGGAGGTCTTGGAATGGGCTCGACATGCGCGCGCACCCGACGCTCAAAAGTGGCCCGCATGGTTGTATTTGACACGAATCGCGCCCGCCCGCCCACCCTTTCCCAGCACGCGCGCAAGACCGTTCGATTGATTTCGACGCGCGGCGCCAGAGGCCCGATTTGCCAATTTTTGAATATATACGTTGAAGCACCCACGATTTCCCTAAGAACTCTTATGACCGCGAGCGCAAACATGTTTGAGAACTGATGCTGCAAAACCACGCGCGTTGATTATGATTTCTGTTAAACACATATAACGAATACGATTTTCCCCGAATCAAATCTAATTGTTGTTCGGGGCACTCGATTCTGAAATCCTCACGACACCGAAGGTCTTCGATGGATTTCCGCGCGCGCGACGACGCGCGCGCGTGCAGTTCGTCCCATTTGTTGCAAGGGTTTCTCGCGGCAGCGCGCGCGCAAGGACGCCCGAACGATTTCGACATGCGCGCGCGAGAGGCCCGTTTGGTTGCATGTGATGAATATGGTGAAGTGAGCTTCGAGCGATCCCCACCGAAACATTCTGCGCTTGTTCCTGACGGCGTGCTGTCGCCGAATTGGTCGGCAACTGCCATTTCTGGATTCGAAAGACGGTTCAACCGAGTTCCATGTAGCCACGTTCGTTAATGTTGTGCTCTAGTATTCCTTGTTATAGTTTTCACGGGCCGGCGTGACGTCGTGACGTCTGTGACGTTAGATGCGCCGTCTGTTAGGATGTGAGTCTTCACGTATGTCCTTGTTTGATTGAGTAGGTTCTGTTATGTTCATCTCTGCCACAATAGTTTTTGATAAGCTAAACTAGGGTATGCTCTGCAACGCGATGTCAGGACATGATATGTATGTCAGGCTATGGTATAGTATGATTTCCCTTGTGATGCGTTTGATAGCTCGGCGCAGTATAGTACACTATGATATGGTATGCTGTTATGCGTCGCTGTGCTCCGCTGTCGTTTTGTGATATGTTATATGATGATGCCATGGTGTGATGTGGTATGCTTGGTTGTGTTATGTTATGTTATGCTGTGTTATGTCGGCATATATTTTGTATGTTGTGCTCTGGTATGGTCTGTGATCTCATGCTTGTTGACGGGCGGGCTCTGTATAGTATACTAAGATATGCGCTGTTAATATATATATATATATATATGTATATCGTTTTGCGATGCTGTCATGTTGTCTGAAGTTCTGGGATGTTGTATAATGTTATGCTATGTGTTGTCAATGCGTGTTATGTGTTTGTTCGCTTCTGTTTTGTTATGTCATAATAGATGGTATTATCTCATGTCATGTTCTGCACTGGTATGTTATGTGGTCTTCTGTCATGCCAAAGCGTTGCCATGATATTGGTATGCTCTGTTCTGTCATGTTATGTTAAGCTCGTCTTCTTTCTTGATATGGTGTGTCATGCTGTGTTATGTCGTGTTCGACGTCGCTATGCTCTGCCGTCGCGTTATGCTCTGTATTGTGATGCTGTGTCATGATATGATATGTTTTGTCAGGACGTGTTATCTTATGCTCGGCTCTGTTCTGTTACGTTGGGTTCTGTCGTCTTCTGTTATGTCATGCTCTGCCCTTGCATGTTATGGGATGGTCTGTCTGCTGACGGCCCTGCTCTGCATAGTATATTATGGTTTGCTGTGCTAGCGTCTGTCGCTATGCGCTGCTGGCGTGTTAAGATATGTTCGATGATGTTGTGTCATGGTATGATTCGTTATGTCAAGGTGCCCGAGCGACGTCGGCGCGCGCGCGAGGGCCCCGCGCAGTAGAATTTGATGAATTTCTTGGACCATTTTATGGCTTTCTCATGCATTCGCAAGAGTCCGAGCGCAAGCTGTCACTTTGTTTCAATGTTCTCGTTGTGAAACCACTCGCTTTTTCAATCTAGAAAGTCGGGGCACTCGGTTTTGAAATCCTGGCGAAACCGAGGGTCTCCGCAGGATTCTGGCGCGCGCGCGCGACGGCGCGCGCGCGTGCGCATCGCCCTGTTAGTTGGATGGGCGTTTGGGCAACTGACGTTTCATGGTGAACGACTGCGCGCGCAGTTTTTTCGCGGAGGGCGAGGAGGGGCCATGCTGGCCTGCCTGGGATACGAATTCATTCTTAGGATGGACCATGGGCATAATCACGCGTAAACTGCACTGCGCGAGGGGGGCCTGCCCAGTCTTGCGCGCAGCGGTGTGGGGGGGGGGGCTTTATTATGTTAGAAAGGGGCTCTCTGTTGTGCCGACCCTGCGGCGCAGTTATGCGGCCCCGCACGCGTGTCGCAGCTCACCTTGCCGAACTTGAAGTCGCCTTCCCGTCGCCAATTACACTGCCCGTGCAATCGCCCCGCCCGCCCGCCCTGACTTCGGTCTGGAGAACCCACGCGGCGGCGATTGCGATGACTGCTCGGCGCTGGCTCGCGCATAGCGGCGGCCGCGCTAGCGCGCGGGCTCGCGCGCGGCTGGGTAGCTCGGCGGTGCGGCCGACGCGGCCGCCGCGGCGCGGGCCGCGGGGGGCTTCCCGGTGCGTCTCGCAGGCCGCGCTGACGCGCGGGCGCATCAACGCAAGTCGGTGGCCCTGGCGGGCGCGGCATCATGGCGACGTCGACAACGGCAGACGCGGCGATGATAGTTGCGACGCTGGTGAGGATGATGACAGTGACGGCGGCCAGGGCAACGACGGCGCCGATGCTGATCGCGCCGGCGACGACGATGGCGCCCTCGCGTCGGCGACGCAGATTGCGATGCAAATTTCGACGCGCGCACGGCAGACACGCGCGAGTAGCCTGCGTGGAAGCACTCGAAGGGGATCGCCCCTCCCCCCCCCAGGCGCGCGCGCAAGTACGCGCGAATATTTTCGACGTGCGCGCGCGAGAGGGCCATTTAGTCAGCGCGCGATGGACGCGTTGAAACACCCGTGGGTTCGAGCAAGTTAGCAGCGGCGCAAGCGCAGGTTGCTTGTTGCAAAACTATGTTCAAAGTGGTTCGGGGCACTCGACGTCGACGTCCTTTCGGGGGCGCCGCGTCGTCGGCGGGATTTCGCCGCGCGCGCGGCGACGCGCGCGCGTGCGCGCCCTCTCTTTCGCTGCGAGGGATTCTCGCCACAGCCCGCGCGCGGGGGGGGGCCCGGGCGATTTCGACACTCGCGCGCGAGAGTAGCACAGTTTGTAGCATGTGATTAACTTGTTGAACCAACTGAACGCGTTCTTGCGGTTTCGCAAGAGCGCGTGCTCATACGTTTCGTTGAAAACAGTTTCATTGCGAAACAACTTGACATGCTTCCCGCTTCGGGGCTTTCGATTTTGAGGCCCCCACGCAATCTCATATTTTTGAACGATTTCGGCACACGCGCGCGCGACGACACGCGCTTGTCATCCCTTATCTGCCGGGGATTTATTTCAACCGCTGATCTCTGATAAACGAGTGCACGGGTATTTTTTCCAGAGGGCGAGGGGGGGCGATGCCGGCCTGCAGGGGATTGCGCGAATTCAAGTCCAGCGTGGGCGATGGGGCAAAATCATATGCACACTGCACAACAATACGGGGAGTCGTTAATCTCTTCGATTTGTTTGGGGGGAGGGGGGGTCCTAATGTTTTTGTAGAGAGGGGGATCCATTTGGTGCAGCTGATCTGATCAGTCCGCAGCGAGTCGCCAACTTCACTGCTCGCGCAATCGGCCCGCCAGCGCGCCCGCTACTTGGCTTGCGAAAGCCCATTCGGCGGTGATTGCGATGAGTGTTCGGCGTTGGCTGGTGCTTCTCTGCGGCCGCGCGAGCCCGCGCGTGCTCGCGCGCCCAGCGGCCAGCTAGTGCGGCGCGACCGACGCGGCCGCGGTGGCGCTGACCGCCGGGCACTTCTTTGGGGCACTTCAGCGCGAGTCAGTGACGCGGGCGGGCGCGGTATCTCCGCGACGTCGACAGCGGTGGGCGCGATCATGATAGGAGCGATGGCGGTGTCGATGGTGACGAAAGCGACGGCGATGCGCGCGACGGCGCCGATGCTGATCGCGCCCGCGACGATGACGCGTCCTCGCGTTGGCGATGAAGGTTTTGGAAAAAAGGGGCTCGACATGCGCGCGCGGCCGACGCGCGCGAGTGGCCCGCATTGTTTATTTCGGCGGGACCCCCCCCCATACACCCCCCACCAGCAAACGCGCAAGGGCGGTCGAATGATTTGGACGTGCGGCGCGAGAGAGAACCAATTGGTCGAATTTGGTGAAACAGTTAAAATAGGAACGGTTCCCCGTAGAATTCGCAAGGGCGCGCGCGCAGACTTCTTTTGAAAACCGACGTTGCGAATCAAAGTTGCCGCAAGGGCTTTGCGTAGGTTTTGCAAGCCAAGTTGCGAGTTGGTGGGTGGGGCGATTGCGCGAGCAGTTGAGTCGACAATTCGCTCGTGAGCATCAGTTATTTTCACGTCGTAGGTCCTCTGTCTTATAAGTGGAGAAGTAGGACCTAAAACCTCCTCCGGGGGCAATTCCTCCCCTCCCTAGAGATGTGCAATTTACACGCGTTCTTTCCCACTTCTGTCACAATTTGTAGGTGTACAATTCCGTCCAGGCCGGGTTCGACTCCCCCCATCTTCTTTTGCATATTCTACTAGTCGCGCGCAGTCGTTTATCTGAAAGCATCAGTTTCCATCAGTCCCTTGCTAACAAGCATGGCACGAAGTGTTCGCGCGCGCGCGTCGTCGCGCTGGATTTCAGAAACGAGTGCCCCGCACACACATAAGCACACATGGTTTCGCAACGTTCCCCCTCACCCGAAAAACGGGGATGCGCGCGCGATTGCGTTAATTTTTCAGAAAACCGCATTGTGATGTTGCTCCAGCATTGCCACCATATGCGACCAAAGTGGCTTCTCGCGCTCGCATGCCGAAATCACTCGAACGCCCTTGCGCGCGTGCTCTGGGGGAGGGGGGAACGACCTTTCTCAACCAACATCATGCGGGCCACTCGCGCGCGTCGGCTGCGCGCGCATATATTGGACTCGTTATCCAAAGCCATCATTGTCGACACGTGGACACCATCATCGCAATCGACGTGATCAGCATCGGCGCTGCTTTGCTCTTGCCTTCGTCATCGTCATCGTCGGCACCAGCACCGGTACAATCATCATCGTGTCTGCTTTTGTCCACCTCGCCATGATCCCGCGCCCAGCCGAGTCGCCGACTCGCACTGAACTTCCCGCGCGTCAGCGCGGCTTGCGAAACGTGCTGGGAAGTCCCAAGCGGTCAGCGCCACCGCGGTTGCGTCGGTCGCGACAGAGTCGCTGGCCGTTTTGCGCACGAACCTGCGCGCGTTAGCGCGGCCGCAGCGACACAAAAACCAGCGCCAAGCAGTCATCGCAATCGCCGCCGCGTGGTTTTTGCAAACCGCGTTGCGGGCGCGAGTGGGTGGGATGACGGCGCGAGCCATGGGGTTGACAACCCATCGGGAACAAACGCGAATTGCACCACAAAGATTGCATCACGTATTTTTTTGCACATCTACCGCAGGCTCTTCGATGTACCACATAGATTGCCTCAGACGCACTGTGTGGGGGGCGCCTTGGCCAACATAGGTCATGTTATTCAATATTTTGAAATCCCTCTTGCTTTGTTTTTTTTTCCCCCCGGTTGTTGTCTCTCGTCATGTCATTATGTGTTTTTCTCTCTCTCTCTCTCTCTCTCCCCCGCTCTGTATACCCAGGCTTCGTCCCCAAAAACATTAAGGAAACTCGAAGGTCGCATCTGTCTCGTCGATTGCGAACACGCGCCCCGCCTGCGGAGGAGGTGGAAAAGAATGAAGAGCAGGAGGAGCATGAGGAGGAGGAGGAGGAGGAGGAGGAAGAGGAGGAGGAGGAGGAGGATGAGGAGTGGGAGGGAGGGGAGAGAGAGGAACACCTGGCATTGAGAAAAGGAGTTTGAGGAGGAGGGGGAGGAAGAGAAAAAAGGGCGGAGGCCATCTCCTCCAAACCCCCTCCTCCGCTTTCCCCCGACGTTGGGCGCGGCAGCGGCCGGAGGAACCGCCGGAGAGGCCAGCGATGGAGGGGCCGGGCGGGGGCGTGGGCTACGGCACGTTGTGCACGGTGGTACTGTTCGTGTGCGCGGTGATGCCGTGTTCGCCTTCTTTCGGGCAACAAAAACTTGGTTGTTCGTCGCGGGGGCCTTCCCAGGCCCACCTCGTGGATCTTGTTCGGCGTTGGCTCGATTCAAGTTCGACTTTAGCTCGAGTCGTTTTCGATCCATGTTCGATTCAATTCGACCCAAGTCGGCACGATAGATTTTCGGCACAGCCTCGACGCATGAGTGCGGCGAGTGGCCCCAGTGAGGTCCCCAGAGCGACCATCCAAGAAAGCGCATCTCCACCCTCACCCGGCCTCCCTCCCCCCTCCCCAGAACCCTCCGCGTGGTGGAAAGCAACATAGCGGGCGTGTCTTTGTCATTTCTGACGATGGGCCTTCGCCAAGCTCCACGACCGTGGAAAACAAACAAACGCGTGAGAAACTTGTCCTATCGAGGGCTTCCATGTCTTTGGAGATCCACGGCGCCACAAAAACACGAGGTCGGATTTCTTGGGCCCATGGAATCTGGATGCGCCCCTCCCCCCCCTCCCTTGGATTCTGGATGCCCCCCCCCCCCTCCTGGGACCAGGCCAAAAGGGCTCTCCTCCCGATGTGATTTATTATGTTTGATTTTATGAGTACGTTTCCCCCCCCCCCCCGCCACCTGCGCGTTTGTGTGTGTGCGTGTGTGCGGTATGCTTGCGTGTGACGTGTGTGTGTGTGTGTGTGTTTGTGTGTGTGCGGTGTGTGTGTGTGTGTGATTGTGTGTGTTTTAGTTTGTGTTTGAGTGTGTGCTTGTTTTTGTGATCATGCTTGTGCTTGTGCTTGTACGTTTGCTTGTTTGTGTGCGTGTGCGTGTGCGTGTGTGTGTGTGTGAGTGTGTGTGTGGGCTACTTTGCTCCCCCATGGCTGCTCCCTCTCCGTACGGGGGCCCCCGGGGGGGGGGCGCCACGAGCGACGAGCATATCAATATCTTATGCATGCCGTGTCCTCGCAGGCAAAGCCAAGTCTGAGGGCTCGTTGGGTCCAACTACCTCATTTCCTCTCATCCTCCCTATCCTCCTCCTCCTCCCCCTCCTCCTTGGGCGTATTCCACCTCCTCCCTTTCCTTCTCCTTTCTATCATTACCCCTTCCCTCCCTCCTCAATTGCCCCCATCCGCTAGGGTGTTGCCCAAGGTGTCCCGTGGCGGCGGCAGTCGTCACGGAAGTTCGTCGAGGACCGTTGCACAAGACCTCCAAAGCATTAGTTAAACAAACGTTGTTGAACGTTGATTTTTTCGTTGAGCTCGGCTTCCAGAGGCCGTCGCCAGGGCCCCAGGGCTGCCAAACAACGGCTCAGGATGGAATGCGTCCGGGGATCCCGTATTGAAGAAAGCAAGGCATCGGACCTCGGCGTCGGGGGCTGCCAAAGGCGTTTCTGCCCCCTCCGCCTCCTCGTCCTCCTCCCCTCATCCTCCACTTCAGCTTCATCCCTCTTCCTCCTCTCCCTCCTCCGTTTCCACCCCTTGCTCCACTCCTCCTTCCTTCTCGTCGCGCCCCCCCTCCCCAGTGCATCCTGCCTCCTATTTCGCGGGCTGCCAAAGGTGCTCCTGGCCCGAGGTGCCCCCCCACTCTTCGTGCCATCGCGGCGTCCCTAGAGACCTCTTGGCCCTGGGCAGGGGTGCTCTGGAGGCCACGCGGACCTTCCTAGAAAGGCTGGAGCTCCCTCGGGCCAGGGGCACCGCACACCGCACATGCACAACATGTTTGTGTCGTTGGCTAGGCAGTGTCACTGCGCTGGCGAATGATGCGTGGTGTGGTGCACGGCGCGCTAATTAGGCCACCTTGCAGGAGGAGGAGGAGGAGGAGGAGGAGGAGGAGGAGGAGGAGGAGGAGGAGGTGGAGGAGGAGGAGGAGGAAGGGGAGGAGGAGGAAGAAGAGGAGGAGTTTGAGGAGGAGGGGGAGGGGGAGGAGGAAGAGGAGGAGGGGCCCGGCGGCGGCGGGAACGAGGGAGAAGCAGGGCCCGCTCGGAGCAGGGTCGGGCGCGTGGCGCGTGGCAGGGCCCGCGCATGCACAATACCCGAGGGACGGGCCGGGAGCCGGCCGAGAATCTGCACCTGGCAACGGTCGGCCCTCCCTGGGGCAGATCGGGCCGGACGAAAGGGGGAGACTGGGAAAGGGGGGGTACGAAATCTGCCGCGTGCAGCTGGTTTCGGCCCCACCGAGGGGCCCATTCCTCGATACATAGCCGTCTCCGGCGCCGGGAGGCGCCGGGCAAATCAGCTACGTCAGCTGATGATCAAACCCCCCCTTTGCTATCCCCCCCCCTTTCGCCCGGCCCGAGTAGAGGGGCGCGCCCTGGTCCTGCCGCTGCTCCTCGCGCTCCTGAATCCTGGCGCCTGGCCTTCCCTTCAGCGCCACCCCAGCATGCAGTGGAGGCCCATGCCAAGAAGCACCCCGCTTGCCTCCAGGGTGCCCTGGGTTTCTTGGGTTTCGATGGTTTTGCTTTGGCAGGCGTCACGCTCCCACGCCAAAAATCAAGGGACGCCCTGGGGTCTCAGGGTTGGGTTTATTGTGGCAGGTTTCTTGCGGTCGGGCCTCCACTGTACTGATCCTATGTGTACGTCGCCTCCCCTGAGGCGACGAACGCACCGAGACATTTTTCTAGTAAGTGCTCCGTGGCGGGCGCTTTCTGGCCACACCGTTCGGGAAACGATCTGCTACAAGATTGGTCTACGATGCGTTCGGATTGGACGCACGCCTCCGAGGATAACGCACAACACTAGTATGCTTTTGTGCGTCCCATCTCTTCTCGCTTTCGGATGCTTGGCTTCCTCCCTCCCTTCAGTCGCAGTACATCGTCACCATCATCATCGTCATCCCTTCTTCCTTCCTCAAATAGTCATCACCTCCACCGCCTCCTCTTCAGAGGGAGCGCCAACTGTGAGGGGCGGTTGGATCCAGAGAACGACCTGGTTCGTCTCTGGCGCTCTGCAGTGCCAGAGCTTAGTTACCCTGATGCGCCCATGTCGAAACGAAGCAGGTATACCGTGCTCAAAACGCTAGCATCAACACGTTCGGCAAGTGTCGGCCCGCGCTCGGGCGAACGCATCGCGCCAGACCTACGCACTCGGCCTACGTGATGAGCTCCGTGCCAACACGCGACACGTTGCGTGTGGCGCATCGCCAGAGCGTCAGAGCCGCGACGCGCCGTCCCGGGGACCGCCGTCGGTCTTCCGCCTCTCTCTCACTGGGGGCGATGGGCGCGGGCTTCCGAGGCTCTCAGGAGGCCCCCTGTGGAGGCCTCTGCAGGGCCGCCCCCCTCCGAGCACAAGCAGAACGGGCGCAGGCAAACCTCTCCGTGCGGAGGAGAAGCTCAAACATACATATTCGGAGCTCCGCGCAGGTTTCTGGATCTGCGCTGAGTCTCCACGGCGGCGCTTTCGGCGCCGCCCATGGCGCGCTCCGCGCGCCAGGGAAAAGGGTCCAGCGAAGATCCAATCAAGCCTCGCGCACCTCCAACAGTTTATGTTATGCTGGTTTTCTACGAGGACAGAACATTCGTCGTGTCTGAATTCGGCTCATCATCCGGAGGGCGGCGGCAAAGGTTCGGTATCTGCCAGGGGTGCCCGCTGTCTCCATTCCTGTTCACCATCGTCATGACGACGCTGCTGGAGAATGCGCACGCTCGGCTACACAGGCGACTGCCAGAAATTCCCGATGGGCACTTTGTGCGAGACCTGGTGTACGCCGATGACACGCTCTTGATGGACGCCTGGCCTGTCGTCGTGCAGGAGCTCATGTCCAGCGTGGAGGAGTGCGGGAAGCAGTACGGCCTGAGCTTGAACTGGAACAAAGTGGAAATGATGATAGTCCGCTCAGACGCACACGTAGTGAACAGCGTTGGAGACACGGTGAAAGAAAAGGAGGCCTTGCTGTATCTCGGGGCCCACATCTCGTCAGACGGCCGTAGTGGCTCTGAGTTGACTCGGAGATTAGGCGCGGCAAAGCAGGATCTCAATGTGTTGCATGCAATCTGGTCGCACGCAACATTGTCTCGCTAACGAAAAGTGCCGGTTTTTAACGCATGCATCGTTTCAAAATTATGCTAGTGCCTTTTTCGCCGCTTGCATGAACAAATCAGAGCGGAAGAGGCTGTACGATTTTCAAACCAGGTGTTTAAGACGGATTACAGAGTGCAACCTTGGTATAGAAATCGCGTGTCCAACAGCGCCGTATTGAGCATGGCCGGCGAAAGGCCGCTGAGCAAAGCCATTGCTAAGCGACAAATGGTTTTCCTAGGGCAGCTCGCGAGGCGACCCTGCAACGACCCTGTGCGATGCTCCGTCCTGCAGCCCGGCGGCACTGAACCGCGATTGCCGACAGGGCCTCGCAAACGAGGGCGCCCCCGACAGATGTGGGGCAACATGGTTTTGAATAACTGTTTGAGAATAGCCGGCGCCCGCGGCCGCTTAGCTGATTTCTTCCGGCCGGAGGCCGGTGCAGCAGCGGCGTGGGAGTCGGCGGTGAAAGCATGGCGCGACTGACCCGTCGCTTGTCCATTTTGCGTGCTCCATGCTTGTGCACCGTCTGGTGCTAGCTGCTAGCTCTCCCACTCCCCCTCCTCCTCCTCCTCCTCCTCCTCCTCCTCCTCCTTCTCTGAGTCACCTCAGGGCCTTAGTGTGACCGGCGCCACGCCTTTTCTTGACGTTTCACTTTGCTCACGCACCGGCCGGTGCAAGGCTTACTCGACTTGACTTGGTGTTCTGCATGTGGAGCTGGCACTGGGACATTTGTACCCGGACCTCGGTTCTCGTCTCCAGGATCCCGGGGGGCCAATGGTGACCTTTCGAACCGGGCCGTTGATATCGGGAGGCTGTCTGTGGCTCCCCCAGGTGAGTTGCGGTGCCTGGACGCTCTGCAGGCGCTCGGTGCACAAGCAGATCCACAGGGCCCTGCACGATGAGGTGGTGCTCGAGGTGTCGGCGCGCGCCGAAGCACCAGGTCAGAGGGCAGGCGGTGCCGCTGGAGAGGTGGCGAGGCAGAGGGCGAGAAACAGAGAGGGAGAGGAGAGAGAGAGGGAGGGAGAGAGAGAGAGAGAGAGCGAGAGAGAGAGAGAGAACAACAAAAAGGGGGGGTGAGTGAGAGAGAGAGAGAGAGAGAAATGGAGAGACGGATAATCAGGGAGAGAGAGAGAGAGAGAGAGAGAGAGACAGAGAAAGACAGAGGCAGAGAGGGAAGGAGGGAGAGAGAGAGATATGAAGACGGAGAAGGAGAGAGAGAGAGAGAGAGAGACGCACAGAGAGAGGACGGGAGCAGCACGAAGCCAGCGCCTAAGCAGTGAAGCAGGCGGGCGGGCAGGCGGGCGCGGGGAGGGGGGGGGCGGGCGGAGGGGTAAGTATTAGAGCAGCGCGGCAAATTCGAATTTTTACCCATGCCCATCTTTTCGTCCTCAACCGCATCTTCGTACGTTTCCTTGTCCTCATCGTCTTCCTTCCCTTTCTCCTCCCGCCCCTCCTTCTGCTCCTCCCTACTCCGCTACTCCTCGCCGTTCTCTTTACCTTCCCCCTCCCACTTCTTGCTCCGCTTCCTCCTCCTCCTCCTCGTCCTCCTCTGCCATCCCCCTCTTTCATCCTCCCCCCCCTTCCCGTCCTGGCCCTGCTCATCCTCTTCTCCCATCCTTCTCCTCACGCTCCTCTTCCCATTGCCTCTCCCACCGAGGATGAGGAGGGGGAAGGACACGAGGCGGAGGCGGAGACGTAGGAGGACGAGGAATCGGACAAGGAGGAGGAGCAGGAGGAGGCGGAGGATGGGGAGGAGGCGGAGGCAGGAGGCGGGACCTCTTCCCCTCCTCGAGTGGAGTGGCGTGGGAGGCGGGTCGATCGGCCGCAGGCCTGGATGCCGGCCTCTGGCGCCGCGCCAGGTGCAGTCGCAGATGGACTCGTACCGGCAGCTCAGCGGCTCCTGAGCCTGGATCCCTGCGAATTGCAGACGCGGCTGGGGGGACGGAAGCTGTGGCGCCCGTCGCAAGTCGCTGTCGGAGGTCCGCGCGGATATCTTGGGGGTCGGCCCTGGCCCTGGGCCTCCCTGGCGGCGCAGCCGGTCCCTCTCCTGGCCAGCTTGTCGCGGGGATGACCAGGGCACCAGGCCCGTGGATGAGGAGGGTGAGGATGATGCTGAGGAGGAGGACGGCGACCAGGCGGAGAGGGACCAGGGAGGAGGGCGACGATGGTCAGGAGGGGGATCGTCAGGAGGATGGATGGCAACCGCGAGGGTGGGAACCAGGAGAACGACGGGGGGATGAGGGTGAAGAAGCTGATGTGATGAGGAGTAGGCCGAAGAGGAGGGCAAGGATCAGGAGCAGGACAAGGATGAGGAAGAGCATACTGGGTAGTGAGGATGACTGGGAGGACAGCGACTGGTAGGAGGATTTGGACGCCAATGGTTGGGCTCCTCGCAATGTTGGGCTCTTCGCCAATGTATGCACATTATCGAAGCATTGCTTGCATGTAAGGGGTTGTTACTCGTTACGAAAGAACTAGGCCGGTGTGGCGGTCTGGCGGCTATGTTGCCGCCGTCACCGCCCTGTCGTTGCCTCGTCGCTGCCTGTCGTCGGGTCTGGCGTTGGCGGCCTGGCGTCTATCGCCGTCGCGGTTTCGGTAATATATATGTATATGTATATGTATATGTAGATGCATATCTAGATAGCACAATCGACTCCCTTGAAAAGAGCATTCGGATCCACCCCCTTTGATTTAACCGCTCCCGTTTTTCGTATAGCAATATGCATGCTATTATGCCCCATCGTCTATCTTAAAAGTGAATTCATAGCATCCCAGGCAGGCTGGCATCAGTTCCCCCCTCATCCTATGCAAAAGCATGCGCGCATTTGCTCATCAAAAACACAGTTTTGCAATCATCCCTTTCAAGAAATGGGGCGCAGTGCACACGCGCGAGTCGTCGCGCGCGCATGCCGAAATCTTTCAATCCCTAAGCGTCGTGAGGCTTTTAAAGACGAGTGTCCCGAAAGCACATAACAACCGCTTGGCTTCGCAGCACGGGTTCTCAATAACAAAAAGATTTGCGCTCGGGTTATTGCGATTTCTTTGTTTACCATCGTTGCTCAACGTTTGCCTTACATGCTACCGAACGGGCTTCTCATGCGCGCACGGCGACATCGTTCGAACGCCCTTGCGCGCGTGCTGTCGCAATAATCCTTTGCAGACGTGCGACGGCGTGCACGCGCGCGTCGTCGCGCGCGCATGCCGACATCCTTCAAAAACCTTCGGTTCCGCAGCTATTTCAAAACGAGTGTCTCGAAACATATTCAACATACGTGGCTTTGCAGCCTCATGTTTCAAAAAGCCTGCGCTCGCGGTCTCGCGGAGTCTAAAGAACACCACAGACGTCTCAACTTTTCATCACATTCTGCCAAGCGGGCCTTTCCGCGCCGCATGCCGAACTCATTCGCACGCCTTTGCGCGCGTGCCGGGGGGGGGGGGCACGACCCGTGTCAAATAATACCGCGCGGGTTTTCGCGCGCGTCGTCGGCGCGCGCGTGTCGAATTCCGCCAAAAACCTTCACCGCCGACGCGAGGACACCGTCATCGTTATTGGCGGGCGTGATCAAAATCGGCGGCGCCATGGGCCGTACCGTCGTCTTCATGATACCGCGCCCGCCCAAGTCACCGACTCGCACTGAAGCGTCCGCTGGGAAGTGCCCAGCGGTCAGCGCCACCGCGGCCGCGTCGGTCGCGCCAAACTAGCTGGCCGCTGTGAGCGCTAACGTGCGCGGGCTAGGGCGGCCACAGTGTTGCACCAACCGCCGCCAAGCACTCACCGCAATCGCCGCCGCACGGGTTTTGCAAACCAAATTGCGTGTGGGTGGGTGGGGTGTTTGCAACAGCGTGGAATTCGTCAGCTCGTTTGCAGAACACCAATGGCGCCACACAGATTGCACCGCGGCTTTCCGCAGTGCCTGTGTACTTGTACGTACAAAGGTGCTACATACATCTATGTGTCTATATATATACACATATATATATACATATATTATGTGTGTATTTGTGCATGCTAGACAGCGATGGCCCCAGACTGCGTGTTTCTGACAACCACAGATCCGCAACTTGCGTGGAGCACAAGATATGGTGCTGGATATGTGGTGCAGCATGCACATTGACACGGGCACTGTTCAATTCATTTGGTGCCATATACGTTGTGCAACGCACGTTGTGCAACGTATGCGAGGCGATCAATGGTGTTGTGCAATATTGATTGTGTTACCCACGAAGTGCTAGCGATATGGTGCAACCTATGTGTTTCATTCGGCGCGGTGCATTACATATGGTGCAACCGATGCGGTGCGATCTACGTGGTGCGATCTACGTTGTGCTGGCTGCGTTGTGCAAGCTACGCAGTTCGATCGATATTATGAAACCTGCTGGTTGCACTCTACGTTGTGCAAGCTGTGTTGTGCAACCGATGTGCCGTTGGGCACAAACGAGTTGACAAATCCCATGCTGTTGCAAACGTCCCACCCACCCACTCGAAACTTGGTTTGCATAACCCACGCGGCGGCGATTGCGATGAGCGCGTGGCGTTGGCTGGTGCACCTCTGCGGCCGCACTAGCCCGCGCATGCCCGCGCGCACAGCGACCAACTAGATTCGCGCGATTAACGCGGCCGCGGCGGCGCCGACCGTTGGGCACGTCCCAGCGGGCACTCCACTACGAGTCGGTGACTTGGGCGGGCGCGGTATCGTGGCGACGCCGACAACGGTGGACACGATGGTAAAGAATGAGAGCAGCGATGGTGACGATGGTGGCGATGACAACGACAAGGGCAATGACGGCGCCGATTCTCGAAAAACAAATATCGACATGCGCGCGCGGCCGGCGCACGCGAGTGGCCCGCGTAGTGTTTCTTTGACAAGGTACCAAGGGGTTTTGGCAACATCGCCCACTGTTGAATGCATTCGCACACTTCGGCACGCGCGTTTTGCCTTATTGTGTGAAACGCCTTGCTCGACTTGTCGTTGTCTTCTATTGGAGTGATCGCCCTAGCGCATTGCGTCGCCCAGGTGCTGCATCGTGGAATTTCGTTAGGGTCAATTCGCGGACATTACTTCAATGCCACACAAGCATGCACCGAAAAAGGGCAATCAGCGTCTTCAAGAAGAAACCTAGGACATCAGAAAACGTGTTAGAGATGACAGAACATGTCAAATAGTTGCGTAATTTGTTAAATCCAATTTGGGGAACGATTGGGAACGCTGGAGTATCTGCTCTCATCTGGTGGGGCGGTCCTACCAGCAGCGCCTGAAGGGATGACGAGCACGCCCATTTTCGACGAACATACAAACACATTGTCTGATTCATTGTTGCCGCGACTGGAACGGTTGGAACAAGTGTATATTGTAATCGTATGTTTGAACTTGGAGCGGGTAGCCATACAGATACCTGATTATCTCTCCTCCGGGTGTGACGTCGCATCGCCTACGGTTGCAGGAGATACGTTCTTTTGGAATATATTGGAAGAGTGGGTCCATTCCAGCACAAACACAATGCATAAACAAACAACGCCCGATGTATCCTACGACGCGTTCGATTTCTGAGCGAACATGGTGAGACAACGTGATTCCGATGGCAAGTGCATTGCAGACGCAAAATGGGAACAACTCTCCATCGTACCATGTGGCTTCAAATCAGAAGGACACCTTCTTTACTGCAATCGCAGCTATCTCTAAGAATGCATGCCGAGTCATCGATCGAGTCTGCGCGCGATACCTGGAAACTCTGGCAAACCGTTGGCGAAATTGGCAGTCTCATCGTTCTCGGATGTCCAAAGGATCTGCGCGTTGGCACATGTGTCGATCATGTGCAACACAAGTGCTTTATGTTATCGAACCCCCAAGGGGAGTTGCGGACATCCACGCCTACTGTTGAAGTGGTCGAGAATTCCCGCACGGGCATCGTATTACAAGACCCGGAAATGCCAGAACTTCGTGGGAAAGAAGTTATGCTATGCGCTCGTCTCCGGATCGTGGGCTACACGTGATGAGTTGCATGTGGGTGGCAAGGAAGAGGAACCAACCCACGCATGGACAAAAATTGCTGCTTGAAAACATTGTGCGTCATATTCAAATTGATTCAGCACTACGCGCATCGCACCAGCCTCTCAAAGAGCGCAGGTTGAAGCGCGCATCCATCACACTTTCGTCCGGCAGCGCGTCTGGTGGACTGCGCAAGTTTTCGTTCAATAACCGCATCCTGTCGCAACCGGCTTCGTTTGGGGCGTCGGCGCATTGTAATGTGTGCATTCGCTTCTGGGTATTATGGAGCCAGCGTGCTTCCAGCGCTCCGGCGCTATCGCCGTGCTCTCATAGGGCCGTCCCCCGGGACGATTGTCGGCGCCCTGTTTTTGTCCTGTCCCCCCACCCCCAGCACGCGAATTCGACGACGTGCGGCGCGAAAGGCCCGCATGATAGATACTGATGAACATGTTGTCACAACGATAGTTTGATTAAGAAATCGCAAGAAGAACGCGAACGCAGGGTTTTTGAACATAGCGTTTCAACACCATTGGTGTTTATATGTTTCCGGGGCACTCGATTTTCAAATCTTTACGAAACCAGCGGTTTTCAGGGATTCCGGCATGCGCGCGCGACGACGCGCGAGTGTGTTCTTCGTTCCGTTTCTTTTGCAAAGGATTATTGCGACAACACGCGCGCAAGTGCGTTCGAACGATTTCGACTCACGCGCGCGCGGGGCCAATGTGGAAGTACGCAATGTATTTGTTGTAAACCATTTTTCAAAAAATCGCAAGAGCGCGAGCGTAAACTACGTTCGAGAATTCTTCCGGTGAGCCCGTGTGTTTCCATATGTGTTCGTTATACTCGATTTTAGAATCCTTGCAACACCAAGTGTTTACATGATCCGGCATGGTGAAAGGGGGAAGCTGGTATTGGCCTGCCGCATGACACGAATGTATATTGAAGATGGACTAGGGTGGAGCCGTATGTAAATACCAATACGCAAAGGTGGACCGTTAACCCCTGGGGGGATTCTTTTATAATTGATAGTTTGTGTGGTGCATTTATTCGAGGCCGCGACGATGCGGCGACGGGCTGGCGAAGGCGACAGTATACCCTCCTGGACCGACGCACGCA